GCCGAGCAAGATAAATCTGCTGTGGCTAAACACTTGGACTTACGACCATCACATAAAATGTGACGAAGCAACCATTTTTGTTTTTGATAGTCATAAGTTCTCTCGCAAAATGAGAGAGTCAATTGAAAAGGAAAAGCACACTATAGATCAGGAGAGGAAGCCACTATATAGTACGTGGCGTGCTCTCTTTAAGGTAATTCCGCAGTTTTGCAATGCGCACTTTTACTGCGCACATCTTATAACTTATAATTTCATCCATTATACGTACCGTTTTAAAAAAAAATCATTTTATGACAATTTTATGTCACTTCAAAACATCTTTGGTTACATTCGTGCAAAGAATTACGTTAAAATCAATGTTTTCAAAAAAGGCATACAAAAGTGTAGCTAGGGTTCCCTGTGACTGTAGTATATTTATTTACTTGTATTTCACGTTTTAATGCCACAATTCCCTAAAAAGATCGGTGACCCTCGTTATTATATTATAATCGGTGACCCTCGTTAAGATATTTACTGCAACAATTTTGTAGAAGGCATTATAACCAGTAAACCGAATTATTATTACTATTATTATTATTATTTAAACATATTTATCCACGGTAGCCTTTCAGTTGCCTATTTTTCAAAGGGCCGTGGTCTAAAACTATTAAAAAGATATAAAACTAAATCTAAACCTAAAGTATAACACACTAACATTAATTTAAATTGAAGTATAACATGCATAACGACCTTACAATGCAAATAAACATTCGATAAAATTTCGGGAAAATTTCGCTATCTTAGCAATTTTTAATAAGCCTTTTGAACTGATTCAATGAAAGATGCTCATGTTCCTCGAGAATTTCGTTTGGAAGTTTATTCCATGACACAGCTGCGCGGTAGGAAAAACTTTTCTTAAGGAAGTTAGTGTTTGGTTTTGATAAGTGAAGTTTTCGTTCGTTACTTCTCAATGCATAATTGTCGTTCTGGGACATAGTAAACATTTCTGTTAAATATTTTGGTGTCATTTTGTTAATATAATTGCCTTAAATGTCATTGTTTGTTCACGTTGTTCAAGGATATTTGCAATGGGCTCCCAATTCAATCTATTTAAGATCTCTGTTGATCTTATGTCATACCCTGAGTTAGTGATAACACGTGCTGCTCTTTTTTGTAATTTACTTAATTTGTCAATGTGGTTGATATTTCCGTTGTGCCAAACTGTTGAGCAGTAAGTGAAATGTGGTAGGACTAGTGAATTGTACATTGTAATAAGGGCATTTTCTGTCAGAAAACTTTTTGCTCTTCTCAAAAGTGCAATGTTTTTTGAAATTTTTGCACATTGATTATCTATATGGTTATGCAAATTAAGTTGTTCGTCAAGAACCACTCCTAGGAATTTTTTGTTAGAAACTCTCTTTATCATATGATCTCCTATTAATATGTCAGGATCTGAATTTATTTGATTAAGCCTTTGTCTCGAACCAACAATCATATATTCTGTTTTCTCAACACTTAAAATTAGTTTGTTAGCTAATAGCCAATTATGAACACTGTTCAAGTTTGAGTTAATTTTTTGTTGAATGTCAGTTGCTTATTTTCCGTCACAGGATATATTAGTGTCATCTGCAAACATTGATGCTTTTGTAGACCTTAAGCAATTTGGTAAGTCATTGATGTAAAGTAAGAAAAGCAGTGGTCCTAGATTTGAACCCTGAGGGACTCCGCAAGTAATTGTAGCTCTATCTGATATTTCGTGATTAATTTTGCAAACTTGCTTTCTCCCTCTCAGATATGAAATAAACCATTGTAATGCTTTTCCTCGTACTCCGTAAAGCTCTAATTTTGAAATGAGTATGTTGTGGTCTACAGTGTCAAATGCTTTTTTGAGATCAAGAAACAGTAGACCATTAATAAGGCCCTGGTCCATATTTACAAGACATTGATTTACAGAATATAAGAGTGCAGTCTCTGTGGAGTGTTGAGTGCGAAATCCAGATTGATTTGTGGATACTATCTGGTAAAAAAATATTTAGTTGCCTAGAGACCAGCTTTTCAAAAATTTTTGCTACTGCTGATGTTACTGAGATAGGTCTGTAATTATCGCAATCCATCTTGTCCCCTGATTTGTAAAGAGGGGTCACCTTAGTGTGTTTGGCAAATCGTCTGGAAAAATTCCGGTATCGATAGATAGATTAAAAATTTGACTTATTAAGGAGCCGATAATAGTCTCCCCGGCTGCTTTTAATAGTTTATTTGAAATTTTATCCAAACCTGTTGATTTCCCGGCTTTTGCTTTGAATATCTCGCATCTTAATTCATCCATTGTTATATTATTTAGCTCGAATACCATGCCAGTAGGGCTGGTATTGTACAAAAATACCCCGTACTTTAGCTTATATTACTAACGAACTTAAGCAGCGTTTAATATAGATTAATATAGTACGCGGGGATCGATGTGACAATTTAAAAAAAAACCATTTCCTGTCGTTTTCTTTGTTTACAACACTGCTACTTGCTGTTACTATGTTTAATATACATTGCTTAAATTCAATATTTATTGACAGGCCGAGTACAAGTTTCTATAAAAAATAGAGTATCAAAATATCAACAACTATCAAATATCAACATACCCCAGTGCGTCCTGGCTGAGTTAGTTTGTGATATGTCTGCCATGCTGAATCGGGTATTTTCGTTCTGACTTTCTGACTGAAATTAAACTGATTGAACCGCATTCTCAATTTTATTTAGACGTTTCTTACCGCGTGCAGAGAGAATAAATGTCTCATGTTGTTCGTTCTTTTCCTGTAGAGGACGGTTACAAGGATTCATGCGAATGCGCTTCGGACTAATTGACTCATGGTTACTGCTTGTTGCATCAGAATTGTCTCCGCTGAATTGCTCTAAGTGCACCGTGTTGACTATCTTTTTGATGATCTGATACGCGCTGGATTCCAGCCGTTCTTCTCTTGGATCTCGTTGTCTCATCGCCAGAAGGAATATATCAAAAGAGGTTATTGTATAAACCTCTTTTGCTTTCTACCGTTGTCCGATCCATTGAACCAACGGTAGGATGGCTGTTTGTTATCGCGGTCTTGAAGATCAGCGATATTAACCTTCTGTACTTCGCTTGAGAACAGTTGAAAAATTGCACTTTCTTCATCCCTTCTATTTGATTTTGGATAACCAAAAAGCAAATCGTGATAGGCGTACCAATTCTTGTTATAGTTCAAGCAATGCGAATATAGTCGAAAGTACATTGCGCAAAATGCGTCGACTTGTCAGATTGCCATTGCTTCGCGGTACTACTCAATTCTCGCGCGTTTGCCTATAAATCTCAAATGATGGCGTTGACAGATGTGTTCAACTATTAGGATTTATTTAACTTTTACTAATATAAAACTGAACTTATCAATATTTAAACTATTCAATAGAACTGATCATCAAATTACACTTGCACCTTATCCTACATGCAGTGAGTTAATTTAATTTATACATGTCAACCCTCAAACGCCTTGGCACATTATGTCATGGCAACGAACATATTTTGCCTTAATTTTTTCACACATCGTGCGGGTCCTCATGATACGCATAACAACAACATGGCCGACGAAATATAAATAGTACTGATGAGTGATGAATAATCTGGTTATTATTATTATTATTAGTAATTCAAAAGCATGACCTATTTACAGGTATTGCTGGAATGGTAATAAGTATAGGAGCTAAGATTAAGGTATATGTATCTATTGCTAATGTACTAATAGTTATTTGTATAAGTTGAACTATACTTTACAAAGGTATAATAAAATAAGTATAAAAGTATTTTGCAGCATGCATTCTAGAATTATTTAATTAATTTGAAATTTGCTGCGGAAAATTTGTTTTGTTTTTTACTTATTTCAATGGAGTTCCTTGGATTTGAGGCTAATTTCCCTTTCAATAGAGCAAAGAGAAATAAATTTGGATAATAAGTTTACAAGAACAGAATCGTCGGATGACATTACGTGTTCCAATAACTTTTATTTACTTTCTGTTGTGGTATTCAAGTTAAACAGGTTTTTGGTATGTTATTTGAACTATTTCTTATGTTATCATGTTTTTCGCAAGTTAAAACAAGATGAAATTCATTTTCTATTTTCGTGTTAGAGTTGCAAAGTTTGCAAATACACTGTTCACGGGGAATGTTTTCGTATCGTCCGCGTTCGATTTAAAGATTCTAATTGCTTATTCTAAATTGGGTAAATGTTCTTCTTATTGTTGGATTTTTTATTAGATCAGTACGTACTAGAAAATACATGGATGCAGAAACCCTCGCCTTGCTGTCAAAACCATTGTATTTTCCGAACATGAAGTGTGTAAAGTAGTTGTCATGGTAACACGATAATTTCTTAAAATATTCTTACAAATGAAAAATCGCTTAAAGGCGATCTACAGTCCGTATGTAAACAAAGCCTTTGTTTACATTTTTGTGTCCAAAATATTGAGCTTTATTCGACAACTATTTATATTTTCAAGCTTCTAGAGTATAATAAATGATCAAGAAACGACAATCAGGCTTTTCAAGAACTCAAAACATAGTTAAACTGTTTGTATCATAAAACGTGGGCTCATTTGTGCACATGCGCAGATCGGACTGTAGATCACCTTTAAAAATATCACTTTTAATTACAAAATTATCCATTTTTGCAACATATATATGTTAGGTATAATATTATACGTAATATAAGCTTCAATTTAAGGTAAAATTCAACCACAAACGTTTCGCAAAACGTCTTAAAGTGTTCTTTATAAAACTAAACTGCCTTTATTCTTTAATTAAAATGGCTTTATCGATAAACTTTGAGTTTGCAATAAAATGATTTCAAATTCTTGCATGCAAATAACTTTGCTTTCTTTCAGTTTATTTAAAAAAATTCAATATAATAAAAAAGGGAATCAATATTAAAGATACACTGAAATGGGGCCCGATATGTGGTCTTGTTTAAGGCCCTGTCACACTATTGCGTAGGAGAGAAACGTATGAGAAGCGTATGAAAATTAATGAAATCATTTTCATACGCACAAAAATCCTTTGAAATGCCAGCGTATGAGTACCGTACATCTGGCGTACCTCTAGCGTATTCAGCGTGTGCCTAAAGTATGCTTATCGTATACGAAGCATACGTCCAATACGCACAAAATTTTTGAACATGCTTAAAAAAATGTTCTGCCTCGGCGTATGCCACCGTATGCGACCGTGCTTGAAACGTATATGACCTATGCCAAGCGTACCCCTAGCGTATGTCAGCGTATACCGGCGTATGAGTGATATTTTTCATACGCTGGCATACGCTAGTACGATACGCAATAGTGTGACAGGGCCTTTAGTTGTTTCATATGCGCAAAGGCCGTCGGGTTTTAAGGCCTTTTAAAGCAATTATAAAATCAATATTTAAAACAAACTTACCTTCGTTAAAGGTGATCTACAGTCCGATCTGCGCATGTGCACAAATGAGCCCACTTTTTATGATATAAACAGTTTAACTATGTTTTGAGTTCTTGAAAAGCCTGATTGTTGTTTCTTGTTCATTTATTATACTCTAGAAGCTTGAAAATATAAATAGTTGTCGAATAAAGCTCAATATTTTGGACACAAAAATGTAAACAAAGGCTTTGTTTACATACGGACTGTAGATCACCTTTAACGTCGGCTCCCTTCTTTTAGGCGATTCTTTCGCCATTTCTTTCTTGAAATTTACAAAATCTTGCAAAAATGCGAGCAAAAATTAAATATATTTGCAAGAAATTTATCAGTCATCAAGTAAATAAATGTTTGCTATTTCGCTGTCGTCATGCAGTCGTTATATAATGCAAACTTTAAATTGGACCAATCAAAGTGTTCGCTATTCATGACAGTCCGCCATATTTTTGAGATCAGTGAGGATGACCACCCACGGTTGGTGACCCACGCCCGCGATATTTGATGAACCTTAGACTTCGCTAATGCTTTCGTTTCCCCGGGTGTAAATAGCCGGGTGGGGGGGGATTAGTACCCACGCACGGCGCTTCGCGCCGTCGGCTCGGGGACAAGTATGGTTCCGTTTTGTAATCCTTTTTGAATGTGCATAGAAAAGATAGTTTGCTGGAGTTGGTTGTTTTATGTCTCCAGAACTCAACATATTTTTCTTTGATTTTGTTTACTGCTGTTCTTGTATCGTAGTTTATTAAAGCTGTTTCTACATCATTTGATTCATCGGAGTAGAATGACTTTAACATGCACATAGCATTTCCATAATACGATTATTTGTTATTTTTATGCATTCTTTTAGATAGGTATAGAGACTGTTTTACAATTGAAGTGTCAGGTAGTTTGAGGATGTATTTAATGTAGTTGATTATATTCTTTTTTATTGAAATTAGGAGTGGGAATTTCCCAAGTTCTCCTCTACAAGCTATATTACTTGCTCTTCTGCTAACTCCTAAATAGAGTTTGCAAAATTTTAGGTAGGATTTTTCCGTTCCTGTGTTGTCCCATTTGTTATAGTCATTCTTTTCGTATACACCCCAGACTTCAGAGTTATATAGAAGAATAGGGGAGATGACTCCAGATCCATCAAATATTTTAGTTGACGTTTTTGGTGATGAATTGTGAAAGTCTAGTTTTTTTCGGATTTTATAAAGTGCATGCAGCGCTTTCTCGCATAGATCATCCGCATCTAGAAGACTATTTATAGCAGTTCCATTTTGAAATACAAAAGGGTCTGATTGTGTTTTTTCAAAGAGTTTTTGGTAGTTCATTAATATAAATGCTAAAATAGCAAAGGAGTTAAAATGCACCCCTGACGCACTCCTTTTTTATATACGAAAAAAGGTGCCCTATTTTCAGATAGTTTGATTGCGCATTTTGTGTTTGAATATATGTCTTTTACTAAATCGTAGAAATGTCCCCCTATTTTATTTTCAAGTAGTTTGGAATATAAGCCTTGATGCCAGACGGAATTAAATTAAACGCTTTTTAAAAATCAACAGAACATGCGTAGATCTTTCCATTCTCACTCTGTTTAACATATTTGTCATGTAAAGACACTCTCACTCTGTTTAACATATTTGTCAGAATGAGAAGTTGATTTGCCGTTCTATTTCCGGGAATAAATCCTATTTGAGTTGGATGAATTATATTTTTTTTTCTCTGGCAAAATTCATTAGTCTGGCATTTAAAATTAAACAAAGTAATTTGCCCATACAGCTTGAAACACAGATACCTCGATAGTTACTGGGATCTGAGGAGCTTCCCGATTTAGGCCCTCAGTCCAACAATCAGGAAATTTCCCAGACGTTAAAATGCTGTTGAAGAGCTTTAAAAATCCTTTGGAAAGAATTTTAACACTACATTTTATCACTTCACCTTTTATTTTGTCACTGTAAGTGGCTTTTTTTATTTTAGCTTTTTTGTTGCACTTAATAGTTCAGAATCAGTGATAATTCCATCAAGTTCGTTAAATTGGTGTTTGATTTTTTCATAGTTTTCCAGATACTTAACAATTTTCTCATGTTCCTTATTTAATTTATGTTCAGAATGTAGTGTTTCAAAATGTGTGAGCCATTGACTTGCATGGTAATGGCATTTTCTTAGTTTCGTTAAAATTTAGATCATCTGTACTAGTTTTAAAATTTTCCAGAATGATATAGGATCTTTGCTAGCTTTTTCTAGCTCTTGAATTCTTTCCTGGTGGATTCTGTTCTTTTTCATCTCAAGAGTGTTTTTATATTCTTTCAAGACTGTATGATATGAAATTCGGATTTCATTATTGTTTGGGTCCCTATGTTTTTGGTTAGCAACTTTTCTTAGTTGATGTCTTTTAATTCTACATTCTTTATCGAACCATTTTTTGTTTGCAACATTATTGATTTTATGTCGATATTTTTTTATTTTTAGTGATTTTTTGAATGCTTCAAGTATAATATTTTGAAACTGACTTACATACTTATTTATGTTTTCTTTATCGTTGGAATGATCATTGTTAAGAAAAGTGATGAGCTTGCTTTGGATATTATTCGATTTTAATTCTTTGATAAAAGCATCGTTTGAGTCGTCTGTCCAAATGTATTGAAGAGGTAGTTTTTCTGTTGGGGTTGTGAAGGGATATCTTTGTTTGTTTCAAGAGTTGTATGTAACTCAACCCTGGTAACAACTTGACTATGGTCAGATAGGTAACTGGGAGCTTTGACAACAAGATGTTTAACATTTTATAATAGGTTTTGACTACAAATTATGTAATCAATTAAACTAGTTCCATTTTTTCCTTGAAAAGTTGGTCTTCCTAGGGAGTCGCCCTTGGTTCTACCATTTAAAATTCTTAAATCAGTGTTTTTTGCAAATTTCTATAAGTTGTTTTCCATGATTATTTGTTATTGGGTCAAAACTTTGTCTTTCTAAAGGTTGAAAGGATTTTTCACTGGTATCATGAATATGATCACTCCCTTCATTTGAAATATAATCTTCTAATTTACTTATCCTAGCATTAAAATCACCAAGAAGCATTACATTTGCCCTTGATGAGAAAAGAACTAGGTCATTTTCAAGTTCATCAAATATTTCGTTGTTAAAATATTTTGATTTTTCAGGTGGTATATAAGTTATATCACAAATGTATAAATCTGAGTCTGAATTTAGTATTTCTTTTGAGATTTTACACCATCAGAAATTTTTGGTGTTTTTAACAATGGTGATATATTTTTTAAATTTGCTTTTAAACAGCAGACTGATGCCACCAGATTGTCAACATGCTGCATTTGATAAAGATTTAGCTATGTCAGAGTTAATAGCCTCAAATCCAGGTATATTTAAATTAACGTTACTCCATGTTTCAGTGAGGAACATAAAGACAGTTTTTGAAATAGCTTCAAGAAAATCCTTGTTCTTAGTTTTATCTCCAAGGATCTTAACCATTAATATTCCATGTGCCGAGTGAATCTCTTTTTAGTTATTTGGCAGAGTTGCCAAGTAAATATTTCAAATCATTTTTCGTTTGTCATTGGTTATAAATTCAACTTAGTTCCTAAATAGAATATATTATCTAAATAAGCCTAAGCAAGTTTGTGATAATTTGTATGAATGCAATGTTAGTAAAATAAGTCATTTAAAGGATAAACTTACAGTTGACTTCAGTTTATATATCCATAGAGTTGTTTGATTAACTTCATTAAATCAGTTGGTACTTTTTTGCCGAAGGCCAGTTGTCTTCAGGGTTGGCTTTATGTTGTGGTTTTTGGTTGGCTGCAAAGGTCATATTCGGCGGTTGAAATGTATTGTATGCGGAGAGTATGTTATGTGGTGGTTGATTTATAGCGGGAGTAAATGGTACATTATGTGGTGGTTGATTTGTAACCTGTGCGGAGTGATATTTGTGTGGTTGTTGATTGGCAAAAGACGGTAGCGGTGGGTGGTATACTGGAGAATATGGGTTGGGGATTGGTTGGAACCCAATTGGGTATCTCTGCTGTGGGAAAACTCTACCAGGTCTCAAATTTGTGAGTTTCTTTTACTTGTCTTTTTCTTTGGGGTTGTGTTGAAATAAGTTGCCTTGATATTCTTGGCGAAGAATTTTACTCCTGTTTGGTTCAAATGTTTTTGTCTTTCAGGTCCTCGGTAGGTTTAATATTATTGTGTTGGATGAAGGAGACATTGGCTTTATTAGTAAGAATCTTTTCCAGTTTATTGTTAATAATGGTAATGTTTTCGTTTAGATGATCATTTCGTGGTAGTAAGCTGGAGATGATTATTCGGCAATTTGGGTATTAATCAGTTATTAGTTTCACTATCTTTTCAATTAGGGTGATAAGTTCCTGGTCGGATTCTGTTTTCTCCAGATCATTAGTGCTACAGTGTAAAATGAAGCATTTCGGGTTACTAAAGTGGGTATTCTTCATTATATTTTCTGCTTTGGTTAGAGTTGGACAGCGAGTGTAGTTTGTCGATTAATTAGGACAGAGGAGTTCAGGTTTTAGATAGCGTCCATTGCTATAACAGAGAATTATGGTTTCAGCGTTGATTGGTTTATGGTGGTTTGGAGGGTCAACTTTCTTCGGGGTCTCACTTTCATTCTTTTTGGATTCAGGATCTTCTTTATTTGTAGTTGGGCTATATTGTGATACTGTATTGGGTTCAGTTATCTCAGTCGTCTTGGTGGGTTTGTCAGTTTGGTCTTGATCATGGTCACTATCAGTACCAGTTAATAGCTCAAAGCTGTTGGATGTTTGGACCATATATGTGGGAGGTAAAGATGACATGGATGCCCAGGTGGGGGTTTCATCATTGCAAGTAGACATTGAAACATTTGATATGCTTGTTTCAAGTTCATCTTGTTTTTTTAATACAGATTTTATTATGTTTGTGCATGTTCTTGTCTTGCAATTTTTTATGCTGTTTATGTATTGAGCATATTTCCTCTTCCATTTGCAGTTGCTTCAATGTCAGGTCACTAATAGTTTTTGTTTATCTTTGTCTAAAGATTTGAGTGATAAAATTTCTTTTTATAATGATGATATTTCTTCATCTTTTCTGTCGATTGTTTCAGGTGTGAGATCATTCATGGTGTCATTATTGATGTTTTCTTCGTAAATAACAAAGTCAGCCTCGAGATTTGACAGATGATTTTTTATCATGGAAAATGTCTTTTCCCGTGGTGAATCAACGGTGGTTTTGTTCTCCAATCTTTCTGTTTTATTTTATTTCAGGTTTGGTTTTTCCTTGTTTGTTATTTTGCGAAGGAAAGGATCGATGCTTTTGGTTTTCATGGCGTCCTCCGGGTTGTTCACCATCGCGAGCACATGTTCGAATTCGTCGGCTCCCCATTCTTTCATCAAGCGAACTTGAACTTGAATTCGACCAGCCGAAATGTTAACGGCAGGGCGAAGGGAAAGAGGGCGTAGAAACGGCCATACATCGAACGGACCCATCCGTGATGCGGGCTTCGCGGGGGGTAAGACGTTCTAATTGTAAACAAATATGGCTACGTGTATATGACCCATCAGAAGGTATGCTGAAATTATTGCTTTATAAAATATTACTTGTGTAAAATTTATATGTTTTTGTTACTTTCAGCTACTATAAGAAACTTTAAGATAAGATTTAAGTAACAAAAAGCTTTATTTCGGGTGTTATTTTATTTATATACTCTGTTTAATTTGGTGGTTAAAAATGGCCGTCGAAATGTTGTCCGAGAGTGCTAGCGCGCACTGCTTCCTGATAAAAAACCAATGATTTCCAAAACCTAAATTATAATTTGTTATTAAGTTATGATGAAAACCTTTGCGTATACAAAATTATAGAGTGAGCAAACATGAGACAGATAGGTTTTGAACCTTTCAAAGTTCGAGGTCGAATTGACAGTTGAAATAGTACCAAACTCCAAGCTGAAATGTGCAACTAAATCGTGTATATTTTTGTCAATTTTATTCGCTGGCTTTGTTAAATTCACTTGCAATGGCTCGACATAAATTACAACATACAAACTGAGCAGAGCCCATGAAAGAGCTATCCATACGCATACAGTCGTTCAGCTTCCTTGCTATTTAGAAATTGTTGCCCATTACTCCATTAGTTGAAGAAGAATTGCTATTGTATGCGCTTGTTTGCACTTCCTTTTCTGAAAAAAGTCTACAATATTGAGGCTAAATAGCAGAATAATATGACCCAATAATCCATGCAATTAAAAATATCTATCAAATTAACTTCAAAAATCATGATTTGAGGAATTATATCTATTCAGGCAATCAACCCATAATTTAGTGACAGATCTTGGGATTGGTGTACTACAAAACTATATTGACTGAAGTTTTGGAAAAATTTAGCCAACTTTTGAAGGATTTTATTAGGTCCAGTTCACATGAGACTGGAACGAAGTCAATTAACCGGGACCATTTCGTTTTGGTCATTTTAATATATTATATATAATAGACATGTTTACATGAGGTCTCAAGTCATTCCGCCTGCTGGACCAAGCCGACTGACTCAGACCAGTATGAATTCGGACTGGAATGAATGTTGACATTGGAACAAGTGAACAACACATGCTAACAAAAGTCATTCATCCTGGTCTCATGTAAATGGGGCCTTACAAACTGTGATTCAGTATCATGGGATGAGATTAGGGGCCTGTTTATATGATCTCGGCCAGGCGGGAGGGGATGCTTACCGAGATCCCGCTCATAATACAAATGCTAAAGAGTGTTTGTATGATCCCACCACTTGTCCCGCCTAGACTGGATTTCGGCAACAGATGCCGGGATCCTGCCTAAGCGAGATGAAAAATTCCCATATGAAAACACTTCATCCCGCCTAGCCGGGATGAAAAATTCCCATATAAACACTTCATCCCGGTTAAGGCGGAATGAATTTTTCCCTTTTGGGCATGCGTAAATGCCTTTATTGCAACAAAAATATGACGTCAAGCACCGAATGGTTTCATCCGGGCAATGTATTTTGTCCATATAAACACTAGGCGAGTATCCTGTCTTGGCGGGATGAAAACGTCCCGTCCCATCTAGGCGGGATCATATAAACAGGCCCTAAGGAATTCAAAGATTTTATAAGCGAGCAATGCTTAAAAGCAAGATATATAAACAATGAAAGAAATGGCACTAACAGAGCCACAACTTCTCCAGAAGTGTAAAATTCCATGATACTGAATCACAGTTTGCAATCAATCCTTCAAAATTTAGTTAAATGTTTCCAAAACTTCAGTCAATATAGTTTTGTAGTACACCCATCTTAAGGGTTCCTTTCAGCTTTCACCTTGCCAAGACCTGTCACTAAATTATGGGTTGCCTGAATAGATATAATTCCTTAAATCATGATTTTTGAAGTTAATTTGATTGATATTTTTAATTGCATGGATTATTGGGTCATATTTTTCTGCTATTTAGCCTTAATATTGTAGACTTTTTTTAGGAAAGGAAGTGCAAACAAGCGCATACAATAGCAATTCTTCTTCAACTAATGGGCAACAATTTCTAAATAGCAAGGAAGCTGAATGACTGTATGGGTATGGATAGCTCTTTCATGGGCTCTGTTCAGTTTGTATGTTGTAACTTATGTCGAGCCATTGCAAGTGAATTTAACAAAGCCAGCGAACAAAATTGACAACAATATACACGATTTAGTTGCACATTTCAGCTTGGAGTTTGGTACTATTTCAACTGTCAATTCGACCTCGAACTTTGAAAGGTTCAAAACCTATCTGTCTCATGTTTGCTCACTCTATAATTTTGTATACGCAAAGGTTTTCATCATAACTTAATAACAAATTATAATTTAAGTTTTGGAAATCATTTGTTTTTTATCAGGAAGCAGTGCGCGCTAACACTGTTGGACAACATTTCGACGGCCATTTTTAACCACCAAATTAAACAGAGTATATAAATAAAATAACACCCGAAATAAAGTTTTTTGTTACATAAATCTTATCTTAAAGTTTCTTATAGTAGCTGAAAGTAACAAAAACATATAAATTTTACACAAGTAATATTTTATAAAGCAATAGTTTCAGCATACCTTCTGATGTGTCATATACGCATAGCCATATTTGTTTACAACAAGACGCTCTGTTGAGCGTTTAGTCGCTGGGGCTATTAAAATAAGGTCTTCTGCGCAGGGCTTCTGCGCTTATTGCTCTTTCTTCTGAGAGCAGTGTATAAGCGCAGAAGCCCTGGGAACGAGGTTGATATCATTTATTGGATTTATCTGGCTTAGCCCAACTTCGAGGACACTGGAAACCAGGCTTAAACAAATTTATTGCAACTCCACATTTTGAAATGATTTTTCAAAAAATTTAATGCCCCCCCCCCCACCCCCCTTCTAGTAAATTATTTATACTCATGGGGTCATGGCCCCACCTTTTGCCCCCTCCCTCCCTCTTCCATAAATAAGGTCTGGTCCCTAACTGCAGGAAAAATATGTGCACTTCACAGAACATTTATAACAATTCATAATTTATTACTTTTGCCTCAGGCTGGGTAACCACAACAGAAGTTGCCAAATAGGCCCTTTGAAGGTTAGCTTGTATGTCAGGCTCGATGCTTGAAATAGAGCCTGTTATACCCTGTGAGCAAAGTCCTCTCGTATTTCTTCTCGGCACGGCACAGAGAAGCGAGAGAGACTCTGCAGAACTTGTGTATAAATTCATTTGAGCATGCGCGAAGGTTGCTAAGCAACTGCCTATTTCCCAGAAGAAGATTTAATAAGTAGTTTCCGGTTCGGATCAAAACCGGTTATAAAACTGGTATCAAACCTAAAATTACTCATAATTATCCAAGTTTTTGGATTGTCGGCTCCACAAAGAATATACACAAGTTCTGCAGAGTATCTCTTGTGCTGAGAAGAAATACGAGAGGACTTTGCTCGCAGGGTAAGCCTGTCACTGAAGTCAATAAAAAGTGGACAGTGATTGGGATGCACAAAAATAACAACCAATCAAAATGGCGATTGTTAATTATGTATCAGTCAATTCCAGCAGTGCCCATCCCCCCGAGGTATTAGCCATTTCTGAGAAGAAAATGGCTATGTCCACAAGCCATTTGCAATCAAATTAAATATCAGTTTTCCAGCAAGTCTACCCAATCCCCCATGATGGAAAATGTCAAAATCCTCACCCCAGGGCTAAAAAATATTGGCAATAGCCCCACCCCCGTGATTAGGAAAAGCTGCAAAGGCCCAGGGGTGGGAACTGCTGGAATTAATTGATACATTAGATTATCAAAGCTAATTTAAAATATGACAATAACGGCCAACTTTTCCACCAATATCTCAAAACTAAATATTCCAATTTTCATCGAATGGCCAGGAATTACATATTAAATAATAATAATTGTTATTGACTGCAGCAAAGGCAGTCATTAACATGGCCAAAAGTAGTTAAAGTACAATTACAAATACGGAATATCATTACATAAACAACAATTTGACATTACCTTAAAAACAAAGCTATTTATTTCTGACCAATGGGAATTTTGCGTACGAATCATGTGCATCAATCCTTTTTACTGACCTCAGTAGCAGGCTTTATTTCAAGCATAGAGCCTGACACGCTAGTTACTTTTAATAACCCATTGAGTTGCATTGACCCCCCTACTTAATTTCAATACATTGTTTTCACCATTGTGTTTATACAAGCTTGCAAATTTACTAGTAGGAATTTCCATTGTGTTTGCAGCCCTTACACTTTGTGTTTCATTATGGCATCTTGACCTTGAAAGAGTCTATTACTGTGGCTCCAACATTTTCCCGTTCGGCGTTAGAAACACAATACATTGATAATAAAATGACTGAAATATTACAGATTTAAAAGCCTGACACCTAGCGGCAAAGTTTAAGTTTCACACAAGTAGTGACGAATGGTGACCACTGTGGTTGTATTTCGGTCTTGTTAGGCTACACCATGTTCTTTTGACCACCTATCCGTAACAGGATTATTTGCATCAACAGCCGTAAACAAAGCACCCAAATAAACAGCAGTTTGCGAATATTATTGTTGCAATTTACAAAGGTTGCGGCCCGTTCCAACTTTGTAAAATTGAAAATTGTGAACTTTTGTCCTCTATTTCAAGCTTGTAGCCTTCCAAATTTACTCACATAAAATGACTTTCGCTCTATAAAGTCTGTTTCATCGGAAAACTTTTAAGGTTCATCGGAAAAATAAAAAAAATATGTACAAAATCGATGATACCATTCGCTCGTAGTAAACGGCCATCTTTAATTCAGCGACGAATAGTAATGACGTAATTTTATTTTTTATTAATGACGTAATTGTCATTTTGTGGCTAACGATCCAAGATCCGACACAAATGCGTGCCGAAACCTAGAGTCGCTGCGGGCTCTGCCCAGCGACTAATTAGAACGTCTTACCCCCCGCGAAGCCCGCATCACGGATGGGTCCGCTCGATGTATGGCCGTTTCTACGCCCTCTCTCCCTTCGCCCTTGTTAACGGTGATAGTTAGAACGTTTTCGCTATCATATATTATCTCGATGACAATTTTATCGCATTTCGTCGGTTGGTTTTGATTTCCTTCCTCGTGCTATCTGGTTTCGACTTTCGCGTTGTCATTGCCATTGGATCCTTCGATTTTATAGAGCGCTCATATAGTGCTTTAATCCACAGTGGAAGGCGCGATTCTGTTGTCGAAAAAGCAACTTGACTGGAGTTTTTGTAGACACTGTAAATTTACAATTTCAACGACGACGATCAATACACGTGTTGTGATGTCCGCCATCTTTTTTAGCATGTAAAACCTGGGGCTTTTTCAAAATTTTGAAGCAAATCTTAAAAATGTTGTCATTGATATTCCAAACGATATGTGATTCGAAAGAAAAGCGACGATACTTGCGTTAATCCGAAAATAAATCATCGTATTCACGAAGGTATGTGCATGTCAAGTTTTTAATTCTCAACTTGGAGGCTTTTAATTTTCTGTATAATATATCATTTATAGACCCTCCGCTCGAGGAATTCGGCGAAATATTACCCTCAGTGTTGATATTAGGGTAATATTTCACCGAATCCCCTTCGCTCGAGGTCTATAAATGATAGCTAAATGTTCCATAAATCGCATAATATTCGCAATTGTATACATTCTGTTGAAACTCTAGCACTTTTTGTTGGCATAACTTCTTTAGTATAAACATAAAACATTACACTGAAGTCGACCAACAAAAGTTTGTAGAAAAAATACGAAATGGCAACCATGTTTTATACCAATATACTATGTATGTTTGCGATGTTACTCTGAGTGCATATCCACACCGGGCGAGCTTGAAAAATATGCGCGGCCACGGTGGGATTCGAACCTACGACCTTTGGAATACTAGCCCAAAAAAAAAATAAATAAATAAATTAATATACTATGTGTTACATGAAGTGTAAGACAGGTGAGCTACGAGCCTGCAGTATAGTTTTGAAAACACAATATTCACTTTGAAAATCATGGCAATCAGTCTGGATTTTATGCAAAAGATTTTACTCTAAATTGACAAATTTCTTGTACGAAAGTGTTCAATATATAATGCATCCTACACGTTTGGTGCTTGCTCAAAGACAGAGAGATGTTATGCCTTGAAGATACAAAGAAATATGTGTATTTGAATATATGAAAATATTATAAATAAGTATTTTATATTACGTAAGTATTGTATAGTATGCTAGGCCTATATTATATGTCATACTATATTTTACTATTTTATGTAATATATTATGGATATTTTATTTGCAAATCATGTGTAATAATCCATATTTATATGTTCTCTTATTATATTATGTTATATATGTCCTGGGAAGTGATTCAGACAAAAAATACTGTCCAACCCACATTTTCCCACTTTTGGCCCCAACACCTTGTTTGACAAATGTCGGCAAACGTCCGGATTACTTTGAATTTTTGGAAAAAAATTTCGTAGTCATGACTGCAGAGGAAAAATATTAAAAGTCATGAAAGCACAGGCAAATAGGATAATTTGTTCGGGAATGACGGATAAATATTTATAGGGATGCGCTCGATGTGCGCACCCCCGGTACAAATAGGGTTAAAAACAATCGATTTCAAAAGAAATTAATAATGCAGAACTCGAATATTTGAATATGTGCCCCCCCCCCCCATATCGAGCTGGTGGCCCACTGTTACTAATCTGGAAGAGGTCCGTCGGCTGCTGCACCACCATGGGTTAAGAGCCAATAAATCGAGCTATAAATTCTTCAAAGAAAAAATCACTTTCTGTGACCACGACATTAATAGCGAAGGCCTGCAGAAGACTACCGACAAGACAGATGCAATGGTGAATGCCCCTCGCCCCCCAGAGTGTTGCAGAGGTAAGATCCTTCCTGGGATTGGTGAATTATTACCACAAATTCTTGTCAAACCTTGCTACAATCCTGCATCCATTAAACCAAATGCTGGAAAGTAACTACCAATGGAACTGGACAGATCAATGTGAAGAAGCCTTTTGCAAAGTTAAATCAATGATTGTTTCAAATCTGGTGCTTACATGCACATTATGATCCTAACATTCCCTTACAACTGGCTTGTGATGCTTCAACTGTAGGAATTGGTTAATCAAGTTTTAACCGAGCTACACGAAGGTAACCTCGGTATTGTTAAGATGAAGTCTCTGGCGCGAAGTTACATCTGGTGGCCCAAAATTGATAAGGACATTGAGCGCTTAGCCAAGAGCTGCCCAGGTTATTAACTTCAACAGAATCAGCCGACAAATACCACTACACCACTGGTAATGGTCAACAAAACCTTGGATATGGAACAAGCCACGATAGTAGTGCAACAACAAGAAGCCACTAGGGCTACAACAGGATCTGAACAACGTTACCCAACTAGATCACACCGGTTGATGGGGTAGGGTCTTAACTGTTTGATCCGAAACTGTATAAGAAAACTACATAGAGAACTGCTTTATTGCTTTCTGTTATGGTTAGCATAATTGTTCGAACACGATAGTGAACTCATGCATGAACAATAGTTTATGATACATTCCTTAAGAGGGGAGATGGTGATATATATATATATATATATATATATATATATATATATATATATATATATATATATATATATATATATATATATATAGTTTATATATATATATATATATATATATATATATATATATATATATATATATATATATATATATATATATATATATATATATATATATATATAATTGGTTGGTCTGTGTTATTTTGTTTCCCATGTGATAGTACTTTGTTGACAAAGTCCAAGGGGTAGCCATTTTTGTGAAAAGTAGAGCATAAGTATTTGCGTTCGTCTCGTTTAGATTCCTCAGTGCTGCAATGCGTGTCAATTCTGTTGAAAAGTGTTTTTATGCAACTGATTTTGTGCTGTGTGGGGTGGTTGCTATTGTAATTTAATATTTGGTCTGTGTGCGTTTTCTTGC